CGAAAACCTAGGGTTTTCATCTCTAGAAGCAGATTCGTTTGGAGGAAAGTGTTTTCACGAGTTTAATCAGTAAAAATCGTTTCCGAGTACAAAGGAAGCATTTGTACCGATTATTAATCGGTGGAAAACGCTTAGGTTCATCATATACTAAGTTTTACAGGTTTGATCGGTGAAAAGTTCTTTGTTTCTTCTAAATCATGTTTTGTTTAGGAGGAGTGTTAGAATAAACAAAACAGATTTCATTATTTCACTTGTATAAAAGCTGTAAATCTACTCTATTTGTGGTTAATGAAATTCAGAAGTATATTCAGTACCTTTGTGTGTGACTCTCTCTCTGCTACCAAAATTTTCTCTGGTGTGAGTGTGTGCTCCGGTGAGTGTTCCAGCGTGTGGAGGTGGTGCCTGGTGGAGGAGGGTGAAGCCCTAGCAGAGCCCCTCTCTCTTACGTTTCTCTCATTTCTCAGTTTCTCTGTTTCTCTCTCTTGTCACGTGGTAGATATTCTTTAAAAGAGTAAAGTGCATTTCTGTGGGTTTTGACATTTCTACCCTCAAAGTCTAATATATAAAACAGCAAAGTATTAATAATATGTTGTTGCAAGTTTCTTGATAAATAGTATCATATTTATGGAAAGAAAAAGAAGTGACTAAATTAAAGAAACCGGCATTGCTTACGAAGTTACAAAAAAACTGAAGAGTAGTCTTTAACATAGAAGCAACACACATTAGCTAGGAACTACAGTAGAAAGTTTTGCAGTGTCTACACTGTAAATCTTATTACTTGGGGATGAAATGGCTAAAGCTCTTTTTTAGTTATTGTTATACCAAGTTTGAATTAGATTATACTTTTTTGAGTAGAGTGATCAGATTATTCTCCCTTGACTTCAGCAGCAGCAGCATCGGCCCAGTTAGCTGCACTTCCAGTTCGAGGAATGCTGGGAATCTTTGTGTACAAATCCACCTGAAAATATACACTTAAGATATTTCCACTGTCATCTTCATGCACAACTCCTCGAACTTTGTGCAGTGGATGATCAAAGCTTGTCAACCCACTTCCGTTGATGAAAATGCACCCTGCATTCAAATTCAACAAGTAAATGAAAATCACACTGTAATCTGCCTACTTGGGAGCAACAATGATGCTGAAAAGAGCAATTCATTAAGGCTTCAGCTTTGGTGTTGAGTGTATACTCTATCAGAGCCCGAATAAAGAAAACAAGATATCCAATTCATACTAATTGTGAATGTCAGTTAACCTTATTTAATTTTCTTAATCACATTTAAGAAAATAACTTCATTCCTGAATAAACCCCAACATGCTAATTCATGAAAAGTTTGATTCTATGAAATTTGCTTCAAGTGATAATACTCTCATCAACTGAAAGCAAAGCTGCTAATATAGGAGGAGTATTTTAGAGATTGTTCATTAAATTGGTCAAAACTAGTTAATATTTATTTTATCTGAGCTTAGATTTGTTTATATTTGAGTCTCCAAAGAGTGCATTTTTTGTTTATCTGAATTGAGAAAGTAGAAAGCTGAAAGCATTTAGAGAATGGAAACTTGGAAAAGCTAAACTAACCAGGAGGAAAATTTCCACAAGCTTGTCCACATCCCTCTTTGATGATTGTACGGTCATCGGAACAGATTAAGGATCCATCTCTTGCCATTCCCCATTGAAATTCCACACTTCCATCACGATCCTAAGATGCAACAACCATGTCAGAAACAACACTAGCAAACTATCCATGTAGAAGAGGCTTAATTTCCTGGACATTGTAGAGTAAGAACAAACAAAAGGTAAACCTTGTGATCAGACCTCACCCTGGCTATAAAAAGAGTACAAGTCCTGGAATCAAAGATGATGAATGCAAATTTTCCATCAAGATGTCTAACAACTTGGTCAGGAGGGTAGGGGGCTCGATCTCTTAGAACCTTATATGCTTCAATCACAATCATGGCTTCTGTTGCTTGTCTTGGAAGGCCATAATGATGCCTAAGATCAGCAATGTTTTCTAGAGCTCCCACAAAAATGCAGAAGATATCATCCAAAACAACAACAGACCTGATTCATTAACACCTACAAATTAGTGTGTTTGGTTGAATATTTATAAAATTGGTTTTGGTTAAAATTAATTTCAAAGTGAATTGATTCATGGACAGAATATAATTTGTATCCTATGCAAATACTACTCAAACCCAAAGTTACTTTAACTCAGTTGATTTTGGACTAGAACCAATTCTTCAAAGTGAGACTAAAATCACTTTAACCTGAACCCAACACATATTTAACCAACTAAACGATGAGAAATAGTTGCAAGGAGATGGTTTTCAATGGATTAGAACAAAACTAGACATCCAATAGAATCCTAATTCAAAGGGCAGGAAAAAAATTTTAGCTTTGAAGTCATGTAGATGCTTCACTGAAGTAAGAATAGTAGCTAAGCTTTAAGTGAATATCACTCATGGTGAGAATTCAAAGCTAAGAACAACTTTAAACTTATATATCAGATACATATTTCTTACAGAAAGCCATTTCTTGGCCAGTGCATGCATATGGTTGAGAAATGAAAATAGATAAATAAATCAAATAAACTTTATATCTCTACCTGGGGTGTATTGGACTTTCGTCTTCATGGGACAGAGCCATAAAATTCCCGTGTGGAAGGTTGTAAACTGCAGACTCCGGCCACACAGATCGAAATTTCTCTACAATTTCTTGTGGGGTCTTTGAATTGTTGAACCCCATTGCCGGAAGCCTCAGTTCCTCCGGTGGTTTTCCAATGGCTTTTGCAAACGCCGCCAACATTTTTTTTTAGTTAGTTCAGTGGTTCTTCAGCTTGTGCTCCCCTCTCAAACTGATTTAATAGGACTCAGGTTCAACTGTTTTGTGATGGAATGGAACCATTAAAAAATTCACAAACTTACAAACAGTGGCATTGGAGATCATGCATGTGGCAACCTCACAGGATGGTGTCGGATTCCTTGGTGATACGTGTAATACTATTAACCAACATAAAAGTTACATGCAGAGGTGGTACCAAAGGTCGTTGCTCTGTCTTCTTTTTTGCAATACTAAATGCTTACAATCATATAGATGTCAGATATATTTTCTCTCCAATAATAACTATAAATCTCTATTGTTCTTATCCGCGAGCATGGTCCATTCCAATTACGTGTATCCATAGGCCTCTTTGGACTGTTCCAAAATCAATATTTTTGTCAATGTATCTACCACACCAATCCAACCATGCTTATCCATTAGCAACTTTATGACTATTTAGAAAAGAATAATTACGTGACTCAAGGAGTTTTCTAGGTGTTTCTTCTCCCCGTCAATTTAGTTGTATCCCATGATAAGATGTTGAGTGAAATAGATTTGAGACAAATAAAATAAAACTGTAGAAGATAGACTTTGATAGGTTTTGAAAGCAGTCAAATTCAGTAAAATCTATGCTTGGATAAACTTGATTTGGCACCATTGACTGTCCTTCAAAGTTCTGGCAATTCACCAACATATAAAATTCAATTCCCGAAGCATCAGGAAACCACAGCTAATAAATCAAGGCGTTTATTGATACTGATGGTCAAGATTTTTTTCAGTCATTTAGATTATCAAGAAATGGTTACACACAAAAATAGGTTCAAAAGTTTTCTGCATCCCATTAAATCAGAGTCCTCTGGAGATGACCTTAGTTTTTGAGAAGATAGAGAAATAAATGTATATAAACATGTTTGTATGTTTCTTGATCATGTGTTGGCTTGATAATCCAACCCAAAATGATAATTCCATCATTTCATGTATTGATATGTAAAGACAGAAACTTCAGAGTTTTTGAAATTATAGTCTACATATAAATTCAAGTACTACATTAATTTCATTGTCCAAACATCCAAACTGCAATAATACATGGTATATATGCTAGGTACACGAGAAGGAGAATGCTGCTGGGTAAATGGTCAATGCCATGAGCTACTTCCATCTCTTATTTAGGCCCCAAAGAAACTATTATCTGAAAGAAGCCTTCCTACAACATGAATAAGGATTATAATAAGTATCAGGAATTCTGAGAGAACTAAATGAAATTGAGATGGGTTTGGAAAAGTTATGGGGATCACCAATATTTAAGTAATTCATTTAGCTAGAATAGGAACACCACAGGCTGCAGGAGCATGCTTTCCTTTCTTAAAGACAAGGTTTCCTCTCACAAAAGTCTCCAAAACTTTTCCGGATAACCTTCTTCCCATATAAGCAGAGAGGCTCTAAATACCAGAAAGATCATTGTTTTACACATGGGATTCAGAAGAACAGCCAGAATAGTAGCATGTATTGATAAAGTGGGCAATACTATATCTTCATGAAAGAGTTAATTTTTTCTGTTAATGGTTTCTCCCAAGAGAAAAGTAATTAAAAGCACAAAAAAAACAATTTGGTTCCTCTTGCATCTACTTTTCCAAAATGAAAATTTTCAAACATTAAAAAATAGCAAGAAGCCTCGACATAACAGTTTGAAGTTTAAATTATAATTAAGAACAAAGAAAAATCAAGACGTACAGGATGTTTAAGGAAAACAGGATAATGTTCATTCAGCTCAAACTCCACCTCTGGTTTCCAAACTACAATATCAGCATGGTTTCCGACAGCAATTGACCCCTAAAACATAAATGAAAATTTAGTCAGATTTGAACTGAATATTTCACAATCTCACAAGTAAATTTTTAAGTGCCTTTTCAAAAAGAAAATTAGACAACCAAATTACAGCTTTGTTTTAATTTGAAGTGAATTCTTTCAGCAAATGATAATATTGTAGTAACACATCAAACAAACACCTCTTACGTTGTTATCTTAGACAACAATGTAGAAACAAAGAGCTTGTTGGCTGGTCTAGACCAAACTGTTATTTCTTTTATTTATATGTATCAGTTATTTGGTTCAAAAAAATATTGTCCCAAGTAATGAAAAAATTAGATTGCAATAAGTTATTTAGAGTATACTGAAAGTGAGAGGCAAAGAAGGAAAGTAGAATTATGTCACCTTTGATTCTATCCCTGCAAATGTTGCAGGCTTCTTGCTCCACAGTAACGACAAGTGTTCCAGGGTTAGTCCATGTTTCTTCCCATAAGTCCACGTCACTGGAAGATCGAACTACAAGTCTCCCCATAGAACCTCAGTTAGTCTTTACACCAATTATAGCATTCAAAATTGCCATGTAAGTCTGAAGCATGGAAACTAGCGCATGGTTTTCTGATTATAATATTCTTTAAAAATCCGTCATCTGTGACACCCTCTAGTTATATTCGATTGCTGTGTATTTTCATCTATTTATATATTTACTTTATTTTGTATTCTTTAAATAAACCTTATATTGTACTTGAATAAGAAATTTTACAAATTTTTAGGAAATTAATATGAATTAGATTTCTATTACTTCCATTTGATATTGTTTAGTTTTTTAAATATTTTATTTAAATGATACAATTTAAATTTATTTAATTTTAATTTATTTTAGATTGTAAATACCATAACATAAAAAAATTACCTCCAAATAACACCACCAGTGACGGTGACCAAAAACTAATTATTACAGAAATCATTTAAAAATAACTATTATAAATTCCAATTTAAAAGCAATTAGGTAATATATACAAAAAATAATTTAACATATTACATACATTGAGAAAACAATGTTACAAGTCTCAAATCATTTAAAAATTAAACCAATTTAAATTGAGAAAACAATGTTAGAAGTCTAACATAGACTAAGATAAGATAATTTAATGTATTTAAATAAATGTAAACCTCATCCTATAAGATAATTTAATATATATAAATGAAGGTAAATCTCATTTTATAAGTTAATTTTGTGAGATTAAATTAGACTTAAAGTCTACTTTGTTGTATATTGTACATTTGGTCTCTAAGTGCACTTAAACAACTTAGCTCTTGTGTGGTAAGCTTTTATTAAGATTTTTGTAAAAGAATTTATTATGAAAATTACATGATCAACTAAAAAAGTGCTTATTCTGATAAGTTACCCGACCTTATTAAACTTACTAGAATTAAAAATCAATAAGCTCTTCTTATGGGCGAATGCAACTAATGAAAAACACGAACTATTTTCCTAACCTCAAATAAATTTCCCTTTAACTTCTTCTAAACACCCACTTATAGTCATTGAGTGGAAGCCAAAAATGTTTTATGTTCAACAACTTTTCTTAGAGACAATGACAATTGGCTTTAAGATGAGATCTCAAATATATCACTACAACATAAATTTACCATGTCCTTTGAAACTTCCCACTATCTATAATTATTCTTATTAAATTTGTTTATAAGATAACATTTACTTCCGTCTATATATATATTGTAAATTCGATAAGAATCTCCAACAAAAACTACACTACTCAGGCTACAAAATATGTGAAGTAGGGGATATACTCTCCAAATATTTGTATTATTATAGCTATATATGACCATCATTTATTAAACTATTACCTTGCATATTCATTATAAGAAAAACGGTCTAACTTCACTGCAAGAAAATTCACTAACCTGCAAAGATGATATGCCCCCCCAAGCCTTCAAAAAGTCACCTTCCTCAAGAAGCTTCATTTGAGGCACTGTTGGTGAATGATCAGAACTTAATAGGTCAATGTGTCCCTCCTGAAATGAAGAACAAAACAAGTAAATAACTGATGGGATCATGGATGATTAAAGCATGATAATGCTTTGTATTAGAGGACAAGAAGTGTACCAACACAGCCTTCCATAATTTTTCTCTGTTGTATGCATCACGAATGGGAGGGGAACACTTAAACCGAGTATCTCCATTTGGTATCTCTTCAGACGAGAAAGTTAAGTAATGGGGACAAGTCTCAACACTTATGCTGTCACCACGACTTTTTGCTTCCTGTGCTCTCATACCAATTGGCAAGTTCAACATTTAATCTTTACCATTACCAAGAGTCCATTGCCAACAGCATTGCAAAATGCTAGACATACTAAACGATGAAAATAGCACACAATACCTTAATCAGATCCAAGGAAGCACTTGAATCAGACAAGTGAGCAACGTGAACATGTGCTCCTTCTAAAGGACCACCAGTTCTTGTGTCTTTCGTAACACCTACAAGCTCTTTAATAGCTGCTTCCTCCCTGGAAAAGTAAACAAGACACTTCATAATTTTCTTTTTTTAAATTTCAAGAGCATTATGTCAATTAAGGAACATGATATTTATGGTCTAGAGTGTTGGGTCTATCGAGGAAGAGGTTTAGGATTTAGAAAGAGGTTCACTAGGAAGACACAAATATCATTGAGATATGAGTCCAACCATATAAGGGATTGACATTACTCTCTACCCAAAACCTTAAGGACCATTATACTTGTCTAAGCCGGTCACCAAGACAAACCATATGCTCTGATACTACTGTTGGGTCTATCGAGAAGGAGGTTCACCGAGGAGACACAAACACCAATGACATTTGAGCCCGGGATTGACACCACTCTCTACCCAAAACTTTAAGTCAATGAGTTAATGGATCTTTCACCTCTATATAGTGCTCGACTTTCTCATTTCTATCTAATTTGGAACTTGGATTCACATTTGGATTCCTAACATAATGACCATTTAGTTTAATGAGAAAATTAAGTCTTGAGATATCTTACCATGAAGGTGGTCTAGAGTGGAGATAGGTCAAATAAGTTCGCGGACCACCTTTATCATCAAGCTCCAAATGTTTTTTAGAATGTTGTTGAATCTCAGAGTGCACATATAAAGGCCTTCTGTACTTTGCCAGCACAGATAATCCCTCCTGAAAAGTACATTGTAAAACAGTTGAACAAGGGCAAAAAGAAAGCTACAGCCTTTTGCAAAACGTTACTCTAACAGATCTTTTGAGTGAAAATGTAATGCGAGAGGAACTAGGTGTGCAAATATAAAGAATTGTAATGAACTGATTAAAACAAAATTATAGCTATAACTTTACATAGTATATAAGGAATGTACCTTGATATGGTGAATAGTAGTCATAGGGAAGTCACTAATTCCTGAAGGACACATAA